AATAATCTTCCAGATGTTTGAAATAGCTAACTCCAATGACACTGGCTGCATCTCCAAGCAGCACCTAAGGAAGCATTAATTATGTAAAGCAAAGAAAACAAAGCTGATTTTGTGCCCATAAAAATTAGTTTTTAAACCCAACTTAATTTTTAATTTTGGATTATTTTTCTAACCTCACATTCTATTCTGCCAGTGTTTTAGTGCCCGAGTATGAACTTTTATACTCTGCTAAAACTGTTTAAGCAATGGGTGGTACTAGTTGATCTCGATTCATTAGTCAGAATCATAAGAGAAAGAGAGAAAATGCCAAGGGAGAGTTGTGATTATTATCATAAATGAAGAAAGTGTTATATAAGCAATCTTACCATAACACTAAATTAACAATAATTTTTTATGTCATAACATTGTATATTCAGGACTAGTCTGGTTTTAAAAACCAGCATGTCAGGATTTGAACTTCTTTCCTTCTAAACTCTCAGATATGGTACAGAAGAGGTGGATAAGGAAACTGTTGACTGCATAGTGCTGCACGATGATTTCCAAAGAGGGGACCCACATTCTTTACAGTGGAAAGAGTAGTAAGAGTTGTCAATAATTCTCCTAGCCGAGGTGACTACTTTATTATTAGTATACTACTGGCCCAGTGCATGAATTTGTGCACACTGAAAGGAAATTGATTAGAAGAAATATTTTAATATTGTTATTTGCCCTTTCTCTATAATAGAAGTGTCAACCAAATTCACGACCAACAATGACAGAAAGATACACACACGTGCAATTGGCACCAGCAAGAGCTTTATATGTATCACACATGAACAAAGGGTGAAATATTTAACTGTTTGACTATATTCCGTGCAGTGAGAAAACCTGAAGTCATTTTCAAGGTCCATCATTTCTTACTTCTTTTCAGTCAGGTCAAGTTTCTAAGCTTTCTAAATCTCTTTTTCCAGCTAATGGAAAGAAAATATGATTCCATCAAGTCTCCTATCTACCTATTCCAGGACTTCTGCAAGGATCATATGAGATGAAGCATGGGAAAACGCTTCACAGACATTTGGTTAAAGTGTAAAATGTTTGCATCTGGGTATAAAGCAAGTCGTGTTCCTGGGTTGAAGAAACTCCAAGGAGGCTAGTTGTCAGGGAGAGGAAGCCTGGCATTGCTACGTGACATCATTACTGGGCGCCCACAGCCACCGTTCCAGGTTGGGCTGGGCTGTGGGCCACGTTTTGCACTATGGGATCTTGGCAGCATTGGCTGCGATTTGGTGGGGTGTCACTCCGGGGTGGTGGCAGGGCCTGTGTCCCACATGGGGGAAGCCAAGTATTGCTTTGTGAGTGCCAGATCCGTGGCGCTGTTTCTCTGTGAATGGCCAGTGCACTTCACAGCAGCTCCTGTGTTGAGCATCTGCCTACTGGTGGTCAGTGTGCATCATAGTGACTGGTCACTTAGCATATTAGCCATATATATATATAAAATCTGGAAATTAATGGCTAATAGAAGCTATTGGAAGCCAGCTAGACTGTGCCTACGCCTGTGCATCACTATTGAAGTAAGTTGGGAGGAATTCTATAATTCCTACCCTGCATTCAATCTTTGCCACTGTTTAGCAGCATTTGATATGTAGATAACCTACATGTATATCAAAACCTAAAAATTACAACATTCCGTGTCTTATCTAATAAAAGAGAAACATGCAAATTGACCATACCTCCACTACACTCATAAGTCACGCCCACCAGCCACACCCACCAGGCGATCTGAGCA